TTAAATACAGTTCCTCATGTTGTGGCCCAATCATAAAATTATTTTCGTTGCTACTTCATAACTGTAATGTTGCTACTGTTATGAATCGTAATGTAAATATCTGATATGCAGGATGGTCTTAGGCGACCCCTGTGAAAGGGTCGTTCGACCGCCAAAGGGGTCGCGACCCACAGGTTGAGAACCACTGTTTTAGTTCATCGTCTCCACAGCAGGTTTTTTTTGTTGTTGTTGTTGTTTTAATATTTTTTATTGATTTTTTACAGAGAGGAAGGGAGAGGGATAGAGAGTTAGAAACATCGATGAGAGAGAAACATTGATCAGCTGCCTCCTGCACACTCCCCACTGGGGATATGCCCGCAACCAAGGTACATGCCCTTGACCGGAATCGAACCTGGGACCCTTGAGTTCGAAGGCTGACGCTCTATCCACTGAGCCAAACCAGTCAGGCGAGATTATTTTTTAAATAGAGTCAAATTATTTTGTATCTTCACAGCTTCTTATCCCTTGGTTCTAGTTCTACTCCTTGAGTAGAACTATTGTCCCAAGTGATTCTTATCCATTAAATTATTTAATCCCCACAGTAATCACATGAGGTGGGTCCTCCCTGTTTTGCAGAAGAGGAAGCTGGGACAAAGAAGTTGAATGATTTGCTCAAGAGCAAGTAGCTAATAGGTGGCCAAGTGGTCTGGCTCCACAGTCTACCTTCTCAATCATTGTTTTTGGTTACTTGTTACTGGATAACGTGCCACTCCAAAACTTAGAGGCTTAAAACAATGACCATTTTATTCGCCCAGAAGTCTGTGGATCAGGTATTTCAGCAGGGCTCGCTTGTGCATATCTTCTGCTCCACTTGGCATCAGGTCTCAGGACCTGACGGATGGCACGGTGATGGCAGCTAGAACTGGGATGTCCAGGATCACTTCATGCACACATCTGGAACCATGGCAAGGACAGCCAAGTTGTGGCTATTGCCAAATGACTAGGTTGTGCTTCTTTTCATGACACCTGGACCCCCAAAGCAAGCATTTCAATCAGCAAAGGTAAAAGTTAAATACCTGTTAAGGCCCAGCTTCAGAAGTTAGACAAAAGCACATCCACCAAATTCTATTGGTCAAAGTAAGCCCCAGGGAGGGCCAGCCTAGGTTCAAGGGGAGGACACCTAAACTCCACCTCTTTATTGGAGAATAGCAAAATCATAACACAAAAGAACATGGAAGATGAACATATTATTGTAGCCTTCAAAACCACACACCATACTGCCTCTCTCAAAAATAAGTTTATGCACACTTCCAAATGGCACCTCTCCAGATGCCTGAAACTACTCTCAAGTATCTCTGGGTCTTCAATCCTTCAGGCTAGCCTTCTTATTCTTTCAACTGTTCCTTAGGAAGTCTAGGATCATCCTGTCCCTCTCTGGTGGTCCCCAG